GGGGGGGTAAGATACACTTTAATACCTGTTCATGGGGCTCTCATGCTACAGACGTAGCATGCTACATGCTAACTGATGCGAGAGTTCACTCCTCCCTATGCTCAGCAGTAGAAATGAAGGAGATTCAAAGAAAACAAACAAGCAAGTAAATGAAAAAGTCTGACCTCACTGTATTTTTAGATGCAATTAATCAACTTATTGCCTATTGCGACAGGCCTACATTTTACTACCACATCCAAATTTAGTGCATCTGTAAAATAACTGAGCTATTATGTTTGTCCATATCTTGCCCACCTTTTATGGCAAAGAAAGAATGCTTTTGATTTTTTAAATTAACCTCACAAATGTACAAAATGTTTAGCTTCCCTTCAATATCCAAACTACAACTTGATGATTGCAGCTGAATGTTGTGAGAGCTCAGTGAAGGTTACATGAAGGTTGTGTTACTGTGAAGCTAACAACACGCTAAACACTTCGACCCGCTGCCTTTCACTTCAGGCCCAAATTCCACATTCGCTTTGTTAGTAATAAACCTGCAGGATGAAGGCTTTGCAGCATCTGTCACCTCTTTTCCTGTTCTCTAAACTGCTGTTTGATTAACACGCAGCTCGTCACAGTGAACGCTACAGTCTATCACAACGGACGGCGCGGCAAATATACAAGATACGTGCTTATCAGCCTGTGTAGCGACGTGGCGAGAGTGTTCTGATTTGCTTTATACGCCTGTCCTGCTGATAAATGGTGTTGCAGTGATGAATCAGTGGGAGGATGTTCCGGGGCTGTTCGTGAATTAAAAAAAAACAGCTTTAACAAGAGGAGAAAACAAAGAGCTTGTGTTTTATGATGCGCACTATACTTGGTCTCTGTGAAATGTCATTAAAATAAAGTCACTAAAAGTCATTAGCCTAATTAAAATTCAACATAAAGAGCTTATCGAGTCTTCAATGCGTTGGAAGGCATCCGAATGTTTTCTGGTGCTGTGATCATTATTTTATGCAGTCGAAACATAAAAATAATCCAATAAACAAACCGTCGAGTTTGTTATTAAACTTGCGGCAGGAAGGCAGAGCAATATGTCCTGACATTTTCATTAAGTCACAGACACTTTTTGATTGATGTAGCACAACGGCGACTTAAAGGTGCAACTCTCACTTTTTTTTTTGTCGTTGTGGTTTCAAGCTGCTTCGGTTTTAAAGCAACAACATCAACCTGTTTTATACCCACTAACTCAATCAGCAGACATCAGGAAGTGTAATATTTCAACTTCAACAAAGGATTAAATAACTAAAGTGTTTATTAGCTGTTTTAATGACTTTTATGTCAGGATCCGTGTTTTTACTTTGTCATACCGTTTCCTTTATGGCATCGCGCCCAGTTCCACCTGTTCCAGATTTCATTAGTCGCAGCTGCAGCCACTCTTCCCATCAGCCCCGTTTCCTTTCACTCACCAGTCAAGCATTATTGTTCTGTTTGTCCCTGTGCCTTTCTGTGTCGCTGTTTTTCACAACAGCCTTTTGTTTTTGTTTAAATAACGTTTTAGTTTTTCTGCCTTTTTGGGGCGGGGGGTCCAACCTCCTGCTAAACTGGTTGCACAGCCCCAACTAGGACCACAGGGTTGTAATGTAAAGTGAGATCTGTTGAGCTGAAAGTTAGAGGAGCCGCTCTTTAAGATCGTCCATAAAGCCATGATAACAGAGGCTGAAAACATCACCTGCTTAAATTGTCGGTACTCTAATTAATCTAAAAAATATATAAACTTAATGGATTCTAGTCTTTTGTGAAACTATTCTGTTTAACCAAAGCTGTTTTTATTATATTTTTTAAAATGATTGACATACTTCGAAGCGTAAGTTGAGATAAATATGCCTGCAACATCAATACACTCACAAACCTAGATTTCCTACTTTACATCATTAAGAAGCTGCAGTTAAAATACAGCAGGAAAAAAAAGCATGAATTACATGAAATTATAAATGAAACCAATGAAATGATGATGTCAATGATGAAAATGTTTTTGCATGTTGACTAGATTTGCTATAAAGTCCATTATTTGTTATTTTAGAGGGTTGATTTAGTTTTCTAATACATTTATAACCCATATTTATATTTATATTATATTTATACTGCTGTGATATGCAATAATAAAAATGATCAGCCTAATAAACCTCTTGAGATTGGAGTTACGAATTACAGATTTTCCATTTAAGCCTGAAGTAAACAGCAATATGTTTTCTGCAACTTTCTCCTTTAATTGTCCTGATTGTCTTGTTTGAGTCTTTTTTGTCAATGCATTTTTTTATCTTTTAATTTTTTTTATTTTTTTTGTGAATGAAGTTATTGGAAAAGC